CGGGGCTCCTCGCCGGCCCGTCCCCACCGTGGGGATTTGCACCTGGAGGGAAGCAGCAGAGGGTTTGTTCGGCGTCGTTGTGCCCTGGGCACCTGCGGACCGGCGGGCCCTGCCAGCCGCCGTGGGGGGACAGCGTGGCTATCGCGCTAGCCTGAAGACCTGGGCCTAAGGAGCTCGCCTGCTGAAATAAGAGATGGGATTTAGCCTCCCTGTCTTTGCAGTACCTATTTCTTTAAGGATGCATAGGTTTCTGAGTCCCACTGAAAGCCCTTAAGGTGCTAGCCAGGAAAGTAACGCTTTGAATAGGAACGCGCGAGCCACGTCTGCTGCGTGAGCCTGGGGAACCTTTTGGTACCTCGGTTTTGTGGTATAAATAACGGGAGTGATGTTGCTAATGCCACGATGGGTTCTGTATCATTGCGTTCCCAGAAAAGCAAAGTCATATTTAACACCGATAGCAGTATTTTCCGCGTGGCACAGTTTGAGTTGGTTTTGCAGTGTCCTTCTGGCAGCCTTGAACATTTTTGTGGACGTACATTTGTACGTGTGCGGGTGCCTGTCTCTGCATTGCAGAACAAGACACAATATGAACTCATTTTAAAACCCACCGTCCGCATTTGGACGTGTATGGGTGCCTGTCTCTGCACTGCAGAACAAGACAAAATATGAACTCATTTTAAAACCCACCGTCCCGGTCCTTGGGCTCCCAGTACTTACGTCTCTGTAATTACAGAATGACACGATAAAACGTGGAAGAACAGGAGCTTGCAAATCAGATGCACAGAAGTCAATTCATGCAGGCAGTTCTGCTGACACGGGAAAACGGGAGAGGAAGGCTGAGCCTCCAAACGCGGGCATCAGCAGAACTCAAAGACTATATGAAGAATTGCCTTGGACCTAACCCCACTTAGCTCACATTTCACGCACTGGGACGCTTTCCAAAATTATCGCACCCGCTTTCTCCATCGCAAAAAACTACGAATCTTTGCTTCCTGATCTGAAGTGAAAGAGATGCCAAGCCCGGAGTCGGATGCCCAGGTGTGAGCTCAGGCTGAGCCGGAGAGGAGCCTCCTGCCTCCAGCTGTAAGCAGCTGTGGTCACCAACCAAACCCGTGGTGATACCTGTATCACCGCTACGGCTGTACGACTGGAGGCAACCACGGTAAATGTGGGAAATGGAAAGAAATAACGGGAAAACCACTATTTTGGTCATTGAGGCAAGGGTTTTGTAGAAACTGAGGTTATGTTATGATCTGCATGCACAGGGAGAAGTAAATTAACACCCTTCTGTCTGAGGTTTTCCTGACTTTTAAGTGCTTGCAACGTTTAGGTCTGTTAACATCATGTTTTACGTGGGGAAGAGGGTATGCAGCTATGCGAGGCTGGTAAAATATTTAAGAGAGTTGAAAGAAAAGACAGAAGACTATCAAGAAATGGTAGGGAGTTGGCGTGATCTCATTACAGTGCATTTATGAAACCGGTATTGAATATGGTGTGTAATCCTGGTGGTTTACGTTTTTAAAAAAGCATTGGAAGATTAGAAAAGAGCCATGCAAAGGATTTAAGAGCTGAGAAATGCAACGTAACTCCACTTGTGTCGCCATGTAGTCCAAGAAGAGGCTGAAGGCCACGTATATAGGGGACATTTCTGATAGCGTAGTGGAAGCTTTTAATAAAAAAGGCCAAAGGAGATTGAGGAAGTGGCGGTTGAAGCTGGAGATACTTAGACAACAAGGGAAATGTAAACATGTCCCCACAATGGAAATTAGGCATTGAAAGAAACTTTGTGGGAACGGGATGGATATCCGGTCACTCCATGTCCTTAAAGGACAGTGGGTATTCTCCCGTGAGATGTGCTGGACCTTAAATACAGCTGATGGGTAAGTTCACAGGTGAACTTACCTGCCAGCGTGCAGGTGTTGTGCAGGTGAGAGTAGGTGCTGAACACGTTCCCACCAGCCTAGAAACCGGTAAATCCATGAGAATCTCATTTCTCCCGTTTGTGGGATGTATTGTGTCCTGTTTCACGGGTCAGGGGACAGACAGTGCAGACGCAATTTGACTTAGGGCCAGAAAGTGGCCAGCATGGGAGCTCAGCAGAAGCTCAGCCCCTGAACATCTGGGTTGACTTTTCTCCCTCCAGACCAGCAGCAGGTCAAAGGATCTGGGTTAGACATGCTTCTGAACTCCCTGAACCTCCAGGGTCCACAAAATTGCAGAGACCTCTGATATTTCCTAACATGTAATGTAATCTGTGTATGGGGACCTTCGGGCTGATGCAGGGACAACGCCGAAGTGTCCTTCTCGTGCCACCCGCTATTGGCTTTAACAGGGAGCAAGTGAAGGGAAAAGTCGGTTTAGCTTTTCGGACTCCCAGAAAGCATCCAGGTGAGTGCTTGAAAACCAGAAAAGCATTAACCCTTTTTCTGCCCAAAGGGTTGGCCATCTCCAAAACAGAGGTGATACCTGGCACCACTGAACAACAGCACTTTCTCGTCCTTGCAAGGACATCCCATAACGTACCGGGAGAGATAAGCAGGGTATTGCAGTTACTGTTTCTCTCTTCAGCTCTGTGGTTATTAATGCCATTTCTCCCTTCCACACCATCTCTGCCCTCTGTGTATTTCATCCACTTAACATGTCATCGCAACTGTCTGTCTGGGAAGAGGTTTTTTCTGTAATACATGTAATTCTAGTCACAGGAGTGAAGAGATATCTAACAATATCAGTAAAGCTGTACCCTGTTCCTAGTGTTGTTCTGGAAGTAAGCGATCCTATGTTAGCTACATTGATTCCACTGCAACAGGGTAGTTAATATGGGAATAGCCCCATTCCAGCCCTGCTGTCCTCTCTCTCCCTCTGAAATCAGGTCTCCCCTGCTTTCAGTTGGGGCAGCTTAGGGAGACCTCCCTCTGCTAAAATATGTTCTATTCGAGGGAGCTCAGGAACCCATTTCCCACGGTCTTCCATCCATTTGCTTGTGTGCGCGCTAAGGTTGGAGAGCAAGAGTGTAATTAAGGGAGAGAGGTTTGTGTTGTACAGGAGCCATAGCTGCACATGGCAAGGGCGTTTCCTGCTGGAAGAAGTAGAGATCATAGAATCATAAAATCATAGAATCGTTATGCTTGGAAGAGACCTCAAAGATCGTCAAGTCCAGCCGTATACCCAACACCACCATGCCCACCAAACCATGTCTTGAAGCGCCACATCTAAACGTTTTTTGAACCCCTCCAGGGATGGTGACTCCACCACCTCCCTGGGGAGCCCGTTCCAATGCCTAACGACTCTTACAGTGAAGTTCTTCCTAATATCCAACCTGAACCTCCCCTGGCGCGACTTGAGACCGTTTCCCCTTGTCGATCACTCTCATGTTGAGATGACTCTCAACTCAGTGTCACCAGCTTTCCAGCCCCTAAAACCCAAATCTGATCCTTCTCTGTCAGCAGCCACAACATTTTATAAGCTGTAAAACCTCAGGCTTTCAAAATATTTGCACAGCGCTACGAGTTGGCTTTACTGGGGCTTTCATATCCTCAGGCACCTTCAAAACCGCTCTGTGCCTTAGGGAGTACTTGCTGCTGGAGCACCGAAAAGCTCCACGGTCTGTTGGCCCTCTCCAGCACTGGGGAGGATTACATGTAGGTCCTGCTGCACTTTCTCATCTTAATGAGCCCACAGGCTGGGCTGGGAGACAGAGAGGGTAGGAGGAAAGTGGGGAGCAAAGCTGCAGCCCTTCAGGGGGACGACCGTTTCCCCGGGCAGGACGAGCAGTTCGGTGGCCCCCACGAGATGCCCGCCCGCGGGCACAGCAGCTGGAGTCGCGTCGTCGGGCTGTCCACAAATGAAGTTCGTGGTGATGGAATGACGACGCAATCTGAGTCAAAGATCGTAGTGAGTTTGATGCTTTTCTGAAACGTGCAGGAACAGCACGGGAGATTTTCCCGTTAGTTTCCGAAGAAGATTTATGGCATAAGCTCACCTTACCCTTTGAATGAGACATGAACCGCCTGAACTCAAACCCATTCATTTTCTTTTCTCAGTAGCTTATTCTTTTGTTTTAAATAGAGCCCTAGCCTTGCACTTTTGTATTGCCATTTTATGTGCGTAGATGGGATAAGAAATTAGGCCCACGGCATATGGGTAGCTGCAATGTTTGTCAAAACATACAAAGCAGCTTTGGCCTCTCTGCAATCTTTTCTTTCCTCTGGGCTACAATTCTAATAAATAATTTTGGCTGTAGCTGAGAAAATAATGTGTTTTTTCTGCTTCATTAATATTTTCTCTCTTCTCTTCTCTTCTACCATGAGGGGTTTAGAAATAATGGAGTGAATTTACGGCAGGGCATTCTCTATTTCACGGGTACAAATCAAAGTAAGTACGTGTCCAGCTACCTGTCTGTATAGATCAGGTGGATTACCAGCACACGTGGTCAGTTAAGTCCGCAGGTGTAAGATTAAGCACTCAGAGCCCATGCATTACTCCTCCAGACAAACCCTTGTGCACGCCGCAGCTTCGGCCTGAGCAAGGGCCAGTGGGAGCAGTAAGTTCGTTACGGTGGGTTTGCCTGCCTTTTGGAGAATTGCCTTGCCGGGATGACCCATCTGAATTGCAACGGAGATGACTAAACCGAAAGCAATGCCAGAAATAGCCTGGCATCTCTGTGGTCAGGGGAGTGCCCGTGGCCTTGAGACCAGACAGATGGTTCTATCAACGAGTTTCACTTGCTGGTCACTTCGTCTTGCCTAACTGCTCTACTTTAAGCTCAAATATTTCAGATTGCAGAAGCTTAAGTGTGCTCCACAGGTAAGAAAAAAAAGCCAGGCTCAGATTCTGACTTAATTGTGTGAAGTTTATTAGCGGAGAGCTAGATCGGACAGAGTGAATCGTGTGAATGAAGGTCACCAGCCCTCTCCTTGAGTAACGTAAAAAACAAACCCGTGGTACTGATGAGTCCTTATTGAAAGGAAATAACCAAATTTTTGACATGTTTCTATTGACAGCAGTTCTGCTGACAGTCTGCTGCATGAGGAGGAAGAAAAAGACGTCTAACCCTGAAAACAACCTGAGCTATTGGAATAATGCTATTACCATGGACTACTTCAACAGGCATGCTGTCGAGTTACCGAGAGAGATCCAGTCGCTGGAGACTTCAGAGGTACCTCACTTGCAGAACTCATGTCTGAAAACGGTAACTGAAGCCGTGCTGGGCGAGGAGGAGAGGAAGCCGTATTAACAAAGCCTTGAAATGTTCAGGGAAACAGCTTTTTGAGAAGGACTCACCCCTACACGTGTATCAGATGGGATAAATATGTCACCAAAACCGGATTGCCACCCTAGTCCCAGCCATTGTGGAGAGGATCTGTATTGCTGTGTGGTCATGGGAGTTCACCAGCTCTAGGTCAATTTGTGCCTGGCTTTCTCTTCCTTTTGAGCCTATGGCCGATGTATAGCCGTACCACGACTGCTTCAGAGAGGTCTTTGGGCTGGCTTCTTACTGACAGTCGGTCCTTCTCCTCTGGCTGTTGTGCGTGTCCCACACGGCATCAGATAACGGGGGGTAGTGGGAGTTAGTAATGCAAAGACATTTTGTGCATTTATGTCTCAGGAGCTGCCTGTGGCTTCTCAAATACCAGTTCAGGGGGTGAGTGTTCCCAGTATATAAGCAATCAAAACATTGATTTATGGGAGTGTATAGTGGTGGTGTATACTCATCGGCCTTTACTTAGGGGATCTGACTGGTTTTGTGGGATTATTCATATGTGGGCAGGCAATCCTACTGATAGAAATGTATTTCCTGGCCTGAGAGAGAGAGAAGAAGAATTTAGCTTAGTTCAAAGGTACTTAAAACCTAGAAACAGTGGAGAGTTTGGGTTTATGCTAAAGTGATTTTCAGATCAGCTAGCTGACTAACTTACCTCATTAAATTTATTTTTTAAAAAAGTGCTTAGAAAGGAGCCTAAGGAACCTCTGAGATGTGATTAGCAAAGCACTCACAGTTGCTTCATTAACCCAACTATGCTGGCAATCGTGTTGCTCAAGCTAAGGCAGGACCTGGTCTAGAATTACCAAGAATCAAGCGATAGGCCTATTCACATACAGGATTGTCTCCAAAAGCTGTCATCTGAGTCATTTAACCCTCATCAGAACATGACCAAACTGGGGCATGCTTGGGTAGCTTGGAACCATATATGTGGTTTTCTGACCTTAAAAAGAAGCTGAAAATGCATCTTTGAGGAGTCAAGCCCAGCTGATAGACAGGCAACTGTTGCAATGTGTCATGAAAGTGAAAAAAAAAAAAAAAGAAGAAACATGAAAGCTCAAATTCTGCTAAGGGACCTGAAGTTTGGTGCATCTGACTTCTGGGACCCCAGATTGAGAAAGAATCGACCTGACTATCAGAGGAGCTCTTCACTCACAGCTCCTACTGCCTGCAGACAGGTAAAACCAGCTCACCAAACTTAGCTCCCCAGGAACTGGAGGAAAGTGAAAAAAAAAAAAAAAGAAGAAACATGAAAGCTCAAATTCTGCTAAGGGACCTGAAGTTTGGTGCATCTGACTTCTGGGACCCCAGATTGAGAAAGAATCGACCTGACTATCAGAGGAGCTCTTCACTCACAGCTCCTACTGCCTGCAGACAGGTAAAACCAGCTCACCAAACTTAGCTCCCCAGGAACTGGAGCCCCCAAAATTCAGGCACTTTTGGAGGCCTGGGAGAAGCGTTAAGCATAGCAGTGCATTCCTCACATGCATCCGCACAGGGCCGCGGGGTGCCCGATGTGCTCCTGGTGGGTGAGGGCTGTGAAGTGCTCA